TCAGTGAGGGCCAACCTTCCATAGAGCCAAAGTTAGTACAGAAGGAAACCGAAATACCCGTAGAAAACCTGTCTTGTTCACGTCACGGTACACAACACCATTCTCACATCCGACCCAAGTTTGAAATATTGAGGACAAAAATATATTCCGGTTTGTGATTATTTGATTACCGTTTTAATTCGTGGATTTATTTTTCTTTGGTGTGCTTCATCAGCGTTGTAAATATGACAGACACGATGTTCATCTTTGTTCCTCCTGACGCAGTTGCTGTGTTCATAATAAGTGTGTCAGGTGTGAGCTAAGGTTAGTCTCTCTCTCTCTCTCTCTCTCTCTCTCTCTCTCTCTCTCTCTCTTGACAGGGAAGTTAATGATGCCTTTATCAGTTTATTATCAATTGTGTTGTCATTTTGTTATTTAACGCAGTTTAATGGTAGGTGTTGAGAGGCAGCACGTGTAGGGGGAGGGAGGGAGCACTGCAGTCAGCATGGGGAGAGGGAGGTGGGGGGAGGCGACACACAGTAGGTCAGAGTGTGAAAGGGTCGACACTCCAATCCCCCACCTCCGGCAGGGTTAAGGTCATTCGCACTCATAAATGAACTCTCGCACATTTCTTACACTCAGCCGTTTCTTCTCACTTGTCAGGGTTTTCACACTTAACTTCTCCGTCTTTCCAGTCTGTTCACTCGCCACACTCACCTCTTGTTGGTTAAAAATAATTTCTTAACACAACAATTCGTAAAGATAAACACGCCATAAGGATTCTCTCTCCCATCTCCAGGAATTGTTGTATACAGGGTGACACAACCAACACGTCAGAAGGCTGTAGAAACTCACCCCCTGAGTTAGTTAAATCTTGCCCACCTTCTATTTACGGTTTAAGATAAAAATAATGCATAAATAAGCTTTGATTCGGTATTTGTTTATATTTGTACATTCTTGAGGACACTGGTGGCGCTGAGGTCACCACTCGCCCTGACACAAGCACCTGAGTAAACGAGGGTGAGAACCAGGAGCTTGTTGTACAGGTTGTTGATGTGTCCACGTCTGGTCTACTGCTGTACTTGGCCCGGGGATTTGGCTCTGGCCTACTGTACTTGGTTCATTGACATGCCTGAGTTGTGCTTGTTTGAATGACGTGGCTCTGACTTGTTGTACTTGACTCTAGGACATGGCTCAGGACTGTCCAAAATAACTCTGACCTGGAAAAACACTGGCTTGGCTCTGACCTATTCTACCTGACTCATATACAGTCCATATTGGGGCCTAATTTTCACAGAGGTTTGTATGTGTTCTTTGGGTGCGTATATTTGTGTTATCTGTGTGTTTGTATGTCTGTCTATCGTGTGTGTGTGTGTGTGTGTGTGTGTGTGTGTGTGTGTGTTTACGTATTCGCATGTTATGTGTACAACCGAGAGGCCAGGCGAGTGAAGGTGAGGAACCAGTTGTGAATGGTGGTAGTGGTGTGCGGGGTGATAGTGCCCAACCTTCACTGGCTGTATATGGAAGAAACCGGGAGGAAGTTGTCATTAACTCTGGCTTGCAGGACGAGTTGTGGTCGCCGAGCCTCAACAGTGCTAACCCACACTCTCTCTCAAGCGCCATAGTCCTTCTGTTCCGGTATAGTAAATTCGTCCATATGGGTGATTCATGTTGAGGCCGTGTGCATCTGATGTTCGCTGGATCATTCTTTAAGGGAGTTATAAAAAAAAAAGAAAATATGAATGAATGGATGTTAGTGGGGCGTCCTGAGGCAAGTGCAGAGTGGGGACAAGGTCGGTACTCAAGTGGCTGAAGTGCAAACCCGTAATGAGGGGCCCACACCTGGTTCTGTCCATACCTGCCTTAATGTCTTATACTTGCGTAGTAGAATATCTAAGTACCTAGTTCTTTTATCTACCTGTATACTAATTATCACCTGGGTCTTGTATTTTATAGTAGCTTCTTCTGGTGATTGCAGGTGTGGTACTTTTGTTTTTATTATTTTCGTGTGTGTCCGTAAACATGGGTCTTCTCGCCTTTTGCTGTTAGATAACGGAATATACACAATTTGAAGCCTTATCGGTATGTATAGCAATAATCATAGTTTTTTAAAGTATAATAAATCATAAAATATTTCATGATACCTGAAAACTATGACGAATCCTTGCACATGTCAGTTAACGTAACCTAAGTTCACTCAACAATTAATTAATCCAGTCTGGTGTATATTAATCTCTCCACTCCTTACCATGAATTATGATGATGGATTTATTTTTGTTCAATATACGGCTATATCAACCGTGTATGACTTAAGTCCACGTATAGACTGTATATTCATTAATGTAAATAAAATACGTACTTTATGTATACTTATATAGGCACCTGTCTGTGTGTATGTCTGTATCCCTCCCCCCCCCATATTTTGTAAAGTAGTTTATATGATTCTTTGTACTAACCAAATCGATTTTAAAGCCATGTTATTTTTTTTTTATTTTTTTTTTTGGCGCTGGTAAAGCCACAGGTATTTCCCAAGCGCTTATATGTAGTTTTTATACATAAGTTTAATGAGGACGGGTTGTATTGTGACGAAATTTCGGTGTGTGTGTGTGTGTGTGTGTGTGTGTGTGTGTGTGTGTCGGAGAAGAGAGTGGGTGTCCTCCCTCCCCTGTATTTGGCCTGCTTAATGGTCGGGCCTGTTCACCGTGGCACCCAAGTCCCTAATATCAGGAAGTCCAGCTTGACGATGGTTCCTGACGATGGTTCCCGGGATTATTTAATAAGTGACACAATGTATTGGTTAAGTTATATTTGTGGACAATTAACAATAGCACTGAATATGCATAATTCTCTCTCTCTTTGTCTCTCTCTCTCTCTCTCTCTCTCTCTCACACACACACACACACACTGTAAAATGGTAAAATATCCCCCTCCCGTGTATCTATTTAGAGGCACTTGTATATTTATGCAAAGGTATACAACCTTGGGACGTGTAGCTTGTGTGTATTAACGAATCAGCTACCATGTAACCTTTCCACCTGCCTCCTCCACCTCCTCACCATATCCTTAAACTCCTTTGGCTCTAACCATTGTTGACATCGTTGGCCCCTCGCTTTATTTCCACGCTTATTGGCTAAAATTGATACTGACGTTGCACATCCATCGTCACAGCCCCACGCTCATTGGCTTAAACCATGTTGACGTTACTAACCCACCCCTATTTATTCGCTCCTATTGGCCGAGACCATGGTTTGACGTCACCGATTTATCTCTTTACCTGCACGTGCATCGGATGAGACTGTATTGTTACGTCACCGAATCCTTTTCGCATATCCACGCCCATTGGCTGAGGGGCTTTTGTTTTCACGGAGATTGGCTGTGAATGGGAAGTCCTTGTCGGAATGCATCGAGAAGAAACCAAACACGGACTGGGATTGTAATTTGATTATTATGGTGTTCTTATGTAAGTGTGACTTGTAGGAAGCGAAGCAGAGAAGGCGATCTTACGGTAAGGTATTCTCTCTCTCTCTCTCTCTCTCTCTCTCTCTCTCTCTCTCTCTCTCTCTCTCTCTCTCATACGTCAGTGAGGGTGTGAGAGACAGTCATAAGTGGTGGTGGCGGAGATTTCAACGCCTCGACAGGAGTGTATGGGGAGTGTCGGCGTGGGTGTAGAGGCAGGTGTGCCTGACAGGTGTTTCTCTATCCTGGAGTCGCTGATCGTTGTATTAAAAGTGATATTTTTCTGATACTACCAGAAATAGCAGTGATGGCAAGTTGTTTATTATTATTATTATTATTATTATTATTATTATTATTATTATTATTATTATTATTGTTATTATTATTATTATTATTATTATTATTATTGTTATTATTATTATTATTGTTATTATTATCATTATCATCATCGTTATTATTATTATATTATTATTTTTGTTTATTACTTTTATAATTAGTATGATCAGTAGAAGTTTTGATAACAGTATTATTTATGGTTACGATAGGAGTAATGATAAAGAGAAAACGAAGACAATAAAGCGAGGGAGGTGAGGGTGACCTGCCTCCCGCCCGCCCGCCCGCTACCTCGTGAGGACGTAGAACACACAAAATAACCCTATTAACTCAGTAATTACTCCCCCCCACCCCACCCGCAATTACCTCACTGACAGTCTGCGTAGTGACAAGCGGCAGGAGCACCGAACCTTTCGAGGGGGGTGTGTGTGAAGCTTCTCTTGAGGGAAGGAGGGAAAGCTTAATGTGGGTACTTATGTTGCAGCGCGAAAAATGGGTTAGTTTATTTTATTATCTTTGGTATCAAGTTTTGTTTGTATGTCCAAAGTGAAATATTAAAAATTAAAAATTTCCTAACCAACACAGTCGAGCTTGTTTGTGTTCCCTATTTCTCACAACTCCGACATGTCCGTCTTTTCTCTCTTGCCTGAAATCGGCTTCACTGTCGAGTTCAAAGGAGAGTTACTAATGTGTGATGAATTTTAATCATACCACAAAATATTAAATACATGTAATAATTTATAAATGTTTATTAATTATGTACTTGTATTGATTTGGCAGAGGTGTTTGCTAGTACAGTCGTAGTCCTCCTAGCAAGCCGTGAACGAGTCTACAAATGTGTATTTACTTACCTCGCTTAATACAACCCAAAATAACAGCTACAGTAATAGGGTCACCGAGATCCTTCTAGACGAATGTTTCCGTCCGTGATGTTATAATTGACTTGTCTCATGCGACCTCTTTGAGCGTAGTAAGGCAGATTAAGAAATTACTACTTTATGTGCTTCGTGTGACGCCGCCTTTACTGTTGTGGACCTGCTTTGTGTAACACTACTCAAGAAGGAACAGGTATAGTCCAAGATAATGAATACTTGTTTTTGGAGGATTGGTGCATATTTAGGTAACACGTTAGTTATTAATTTTATTTTTTTTATGTTCAGTAACACTATGATGATGTTCGCAGGTTTGTACACAATGATGTGTGATTAATTATTATTGCTGTTTTTTTTCAGACATACGTGCGAGAAAACAACGTCGCCCAGAAGGAGAATGCTAGGCCGTTGTCTACGTCTGGTGGGAGTTCGCCCGTGTCTCCCCTCTCGCCGAGCACCACCCCACCCACCTTGGTCACCACCTCACCCACCGTCAGCCCGAGCCTACAGCAGAACGCCCACCCGACGGCACCCGGCTCCCCCTTGGGTGTGGCCCCCACCCCAGGCTCCCCCGTGCACTCTCCCAGAGCCATCAACACACTTCGACGCCACACCAAATCCACCAAGAACCTCCTTATACCCAGGTCAGTCTGCTGCCCTTGTGTGTCTACAGAATACAACCCTTTTTCCACACTGTACAAAATTCCACCATCTAAACAACAGTCACGCCCTGACTGCCCTAAGTTACGTAAAAAATAATCTTATCCCAATCTTTTGTGAAGTGTGTGACACATCTGTGACCGCTGCCACAGTCTGCAATTGACTAGTTTCGATTTACCAATTTATAATACCTGTACCACAGATAATGGGCCACCGCTAGCTGCTTCTACAATCTGAAACTTTGTCAAAATGCTTTCTCTGTTTGTTCTTTATAATGTATTTTGACATGTCTGTCCATACGTCCGTCCCAACCAAGTGGTCAATAAACAAATGTAGTAATTGTAGATTTTACGTTAATTATTTTTATTTCATGATAATTCCCATAAAAAATGGCCATATTATATTTTCTTACTTCGCAGTACGAATTATTGTTTGGGATAACAATACTGTTTAACGAGAGGTGTGAGGCCGCTGTCACACTCGGGTACCAGTCAAAGGTGGGGTTGACTTAGCTTCACCCTACACAGAGGTGATATTTAGAGTTTCCCGGTAAGGAGTGGCAGGATGGATCACTCTTGTTGTTGCTGGGGGTATTTACACTGGCTGGTGACTGGCGGACACCTGTGAGTGAAGAGTCTGTCTGCCGGGCCATCGTCGTCCAGGAATGTGTGACGCGTGACACTGCATAGACTGCTGCTGTGCTGTGTTGTGCACTGCAACTGGGGAGGAGGCAGGGACGTGTGGGCTAATGATACCCTCGATAGGAATTTCCTTTACTGCTCTCTATCGCCAGTTCTCAGAGCAATGGATGTTAGAAATAATAGTAGTAGCAGGTTAAATTTGTTTTTTAGAAATTGCTAAAATAATCAATAATAAATGGTCGCCGCAGATTGACAGACCAAACCTCGTTAATTGACGATGAAAGCAAAGCTTCTCCACCTACCATCCTCCATCTTTGTTTTAAACTAGTTATGTTGTTTCTCCTGTTGCTTTCACTTCCTGCAGGTCAGGATCATTTGTTGGTTAATTACTGTTGCTCCCTCACCTGCGTGTTCGCTATGATTCATTTCCCTCCCGAGGTTCCCGTCCACCACAACAAAGATCTCTCCCAGCACCTTTGTGTTTCTGATATCCTTGCTGCTCCTTCTTACTACGAGTCACGGCCCCATGCGTTCAACACTTGTATTGGTAAAGAAAAGATATCTGCTCATCTTTCCAATTTGTCGTAAGATTGTAAAGTAAACTGTTATCCCGTAAATCAGTCCTAATTGTTGCAGTGCTGGCGTTAGTGCTGACAGAACGAGGATTTAAATACCTGTCAAGGTAGATCACACGTCTATCACAGAGCACAGATTGTGTTAATTCAATGATCGTCCTTCATACCTGTCGTTCAAATTGCCCTTAATCCTTGACCAATTAGTGCTGCACACTTCCTTGATAGTCAAGTGGTAGTACTAAACTGACCTCTAGACCTGGCTTGGTGGCCTGTGGTGTTGAGGTTGATGACTGCCTGGAGTGTGGTGGGTGGGTGCAGCATGACGGTGATTCACGTGATGCTGTCTTGTATTGTTCGCAGTTGTTGAGTGACGTCATTGGGAGGAAGGTGTAATCTAGGACTTTCTTATCTCAAGTTTTTGCTCATTTGAGTCATTTCTGACCTTGGTGGAGGAGGAGGATGAAGATAGAGATGTTCCAGTGTGTGCACAGCCAAGGGTTAAGGGATGGATGACTTGTGACCCAGTCAGTCAAGTGAACTGGATATGCTGCTGGGTTGAGATCTGTAACTCTCTCGGGGTAATGCCACCTCTCCCTCCTTCCTCCTCCCTCTCGTCTGTACCTCGCATATTTCCTTTTCGTGTACCAGGAAGGCAGTGCCAGGTTCACTTATCTACCATATACATACATACATACATACATACATACACACACGGTGGTGGTTGTGGATCATAGAGAGGTACATGTAGGTGTGGGCATTGGAGCTGTGGGCGAGACTGAACGCTTGCCAGAGATAACACAAGTTTTCACCTGACCTGTCTTGTGACGACCATGGTAGGTGGTGGGAGGTGTGGGTGATTGACATGCCTTTATGGGTCGTCCAGTTGGGGATGATGATAGACGTGTAGATGTTAGTGCATGGGACGGGAGGAGACAGGTGGACTTGAAGAGAGAGGATAAAGGGGTTACAGGTAAGTTTTGGGGGGGGGGGAAGGAGGAGAGAGACATACTTAGGAAGAGATGGTGGGTGAGATATAAACAGCGGGGAAGATGCTAGATTGCTAGAAAGATAAACCTGTAGTATAATTATATTCTGGTACACACTTCAATCTTGTTATTGTTGAGGGTGTGGGGACGCTGGTGTGCTGGGCCTCCTGCTGTACTGTTATCATCTGTGCAACACCTTGTTAACCTCTTCGTATCATTTGTGACACACTCGAACCAAATGATCTCTCTTCTTATCCTTGTTATCCGCGGTTCTTACGTTTGGCACACCCCAGCCACACGCTGTTAAACATGACAACGCCGACGGTGAGGAGTCTCAGATGTGTTAATACCGTGATAGTGTTGGCGCTTGTGAGGCCGTATAAGGCAGGAGTGTGTAAGGTGTGGGCGGCGGGGAGTATCACGTAGATAAGAGGTAAAGTGCCCAAGATGTCCGCACACATACCTCTGATACTGCTGCTCTCTTATTGACCCATACTACACACTGGGTCACCCACACCATTACTGAATTGCCCCCACCTGCCCTACTTAACCCACATCACTTGCTGGGTCACCCACACCTGCACTTGTTGCCCGATATCACTTGTGGGCCCATCCACAACAGTGTTGCGGCCTGGGTCCTCCCATAGCTGCTTCTTGTGTGGAGGGCGTTCTGGGGACCCTGTGGGGATAATCGTGTATGAGGAACTCCTTTGGGTCAGATAATAGAGAATGTTGAAGGAAGGCGCTGATGAGATGGCGTTAACAGGTACACCTCACAGCTTTGGTCGGAGGTGATGGTGTGTAGCTCTGTGTGTTGCTAGACGATCATGTGACATATGGGCTATGGAAGGTTGATGTGCTCGGAGCGATTTGGGGATGTGATGACTTACCCAGTTGATGGAGGAATCATGTTACGCTCACAGTATCAGATTTCCCGCTACACCCTGTTCGATCTGCCTACTTCTGCATTCCTTTTACTCCCTCTCTCGTTGTCTTCCTCTCTGCCTGCCATACTGTTCCTGCCTGCCGCACACTTTACCACCCTCTTATGTGATACTCCAGGCCTCACTACTGCTTAATGATCACTGTACCATTGTTGGTGCCTGACAACATCCTCCTCAAGTATTTATCCCATCATAGTGGACCCCCTACCATCCTGAAGAAGTACCCCCCCGACCATCCTGGGAAGTTCCCCACCATCCTGGGAAGTAACCCCAGAACCCCCCGGATTCGCCCGTGTTAGAGGAGGTTTTTGTGTGTGAGGAAGTGAATGAAAAGCCCGAGGCGGGTTGGCTTGTGGGCTGGTGGGTTATAGGTGGTGACCTCCCTGAACTCAGCCAAAATGACGGCTATAATTCACCTGGTCATGATTCTCAGACAGGTGTGGCAGCTGTTGGTTTCTTGGATAACATTCGACCATGCATTCATCAGGAACGAAACTGATATTGATTCAGTTTATTTAGCCAGAAATTTAGATAAACTGAATGATATCAACGGTATTGACATGGACGTCATTTATCTCAAGAAATTATTATATAACATTTAGGGATTACTATATGTTGTGTGTAGTTAGTAAATATTAGATTGTTGTTATGTTTATTACTTTATTATTTTTGTATTTGTTTATATTTATATGTATTTTTAGAACTGTATAAAGTTATTGATATACAGTATAGTAATGTGGTAAGTGGGTGGTAGAAGCAGTGCAGCCTGGGTTATGTTAATGTGAAACAATAGAACAGTCACAGCCAAGATTGTCTAGATGGTAAAGTATATAATCATTGGCAATGGTAATTACTATTAATGCATCAAAATTTCATATAACCAAGCTGAAGCTCATGGCATTGTGTTGATTAAGATTTTGTTGCTGGAACATACGATCCATCCTAACGTATTTTAAATACATGGTATTAAGTGGTGGTGGAAGCCTGACAAGATTTACCCTTCCGGATTGAGGATTTCAAGAACTTCCTGACTTGAAATGTATCCTGTTGTGAGTGGACAAGTTGACAGTCACCATTTTTTTTAAGGCACTTCCACAAATACAAAATGTAGTGAATTTCACTATGGTAACCAGATTATCTAATAAAATAGGCCAGAAAGTAAAAAAAAATAAGGGTAAAGTTGCTCAAAAGTCACGTGACTGGAAAACGCCCAGTGATTGCTGTAATGTCATTAGCTTGTAGACTTGTATTGAAACCGAGGGCGGAAGTCAGGCCACGGACTATGAACAATAAGGATAAACTGCTGTAACTTCATAAGCTTTAGCTCTGCCTCACCCTTATGTGAAGACCCTATTCCTACCAGGAGATGTCACACTCCCTGACATAGATTCCAACCCTGATGACTCTGCAGATGTCACTCCAACACCATCACCCACTATGTAAAACCTCTACCACCACCTCCATTATCTTATCTACCCAAACTGATGTATCCACTTTTATTGTTAAGTACACTGTACTGTGCACTTGCTTTGTCTATTACAGTACAGTATTTAAAAAAATAATATTGTATTGATTTTGGGTTGTGGAACGCATCCTATTTTTGCCCATTTACAGGTAACTAAGTATTTGATATACAATGTGCAATTTCGATTTATGGGACTGTTTTCAGGAATGCATCCCTCACATATATCGAGGAATTAGTGTAAAAATACTGTAAATTTAAAGTTAATCTCACTTATATGTATTGGCAGATGTTCATAACCCAGGGACTGCCAGCACATATACAGTGTGTGTATATGTATTATCCTGACCTGTATTATTCTACGTAATATTTAACCATTTATCACTTGGACATCGTTACAGATTTTATTACCCGATGGGTCGTCCGACAAGCCAGATGACACAGGAGCAGGCGTTGGGGCGGGTGAGCTCTGTTTTCCGGGAACAGGGAGGGCAGGTTAACCGTGACAATATGGAACCCCTTATGCGGTCCTGCCAATTACCCCTCTACTGGAAGGCCCCTCTCTTCATCGCCGCCGGCGGGGATAAGCTTGGCTACCTCACACAGGAACAATTTACTGATTACTGGAGCAGGTACTATGACTAACACACACTGCTGTTTGTTACTGGTTCTTGCCTTTCAAATTAATTGGTAGACATTAAATATAGGTACTATATAGTACAGTATACCAAAAATAATTACAATAGATGAGAAATTACTGTTCTCTTGTATTATTTATCACCCTTCAGTACATTTGCAGTACTGTATACTTTTGATGAAAAAAATAAATATCATATATGCCTTCCCATCATGGAACATCCCCAAGTTATACAATAAAAGCTCTGTGTCTACTCTAGGAGTACTGTATATTGGAAGTAAATATTCTACACTACAGTACAGTATACTTTATACTGTACATCTATTAAGTTTTTAATATCATTTTAAAATGATGCTACAGTCATACTAAGATGTACTGTACACTGTATATGTTTTTAGATACATAACTTATATAATTCCCAGTTGCTGTATAAATATTGTTTTATGGTGTATACTGTACGTGTTTTATCAAAAATATTTTAGAATCACCTAAACTTCTGTATGTAAACCAGGCCTTAGAGATATTGCATTTGTTTTCCACCTTTGAAGCCAATAATTAAAGTTGACTTCACATTGTTGTTTTTCAGAGTGATCTCGACTTGCCATGACATGGCTTCTCGTTTCGTGCGAGTGTTGAGTCGTGGTGTGCGAAACTACCTCATGCCCGAGGACTTCCTCAGCATGATCCAGGACGTGGTGGACACACACCCTGGACTAACCTTCCTCAAGGAGGCCACTGAGTTTCACTCCAGATATGTCCACACTGTGAGTTATTTGCTGTTTATAAGGAGGATCTTGAGGTGGAGTTCAGAATCCTTAGCTCCTGATGCTATTCTTAGATAGAGACAGAGGATGGGAGGCAGATTGTGGGATCTTTGCACTTCCCGATACTCTTCCTGGCTAGAACTCTGGGTAGGGATTGTGAGTTCTCTGCCCATAGCTAGAACTCTTGGGTGGGATTATTGAAATACAATACTACTGTATTCCTTGCTAGAATCCAAGTGGAGGAGGATTCTTCAAGCAAGTTAATTTAGGTTTAGAGAAAGCACAGTGGAATGGACAAGTAAATCATAGTGTTATAGTGTAATATGATACAGCCCATCACTTATTAGTAAAGATGATGAAAGAAGTAATACTGTATTGGTAAAATATTCTGGGCATTAGTAAAAAAAAATATACAGTAAAGGATTACTTCTCAACATTTTCCATTTATGCAATGATAATGAAACTACATGTACAGTACTTGATCTCTTATATAAATATAAATATATATGTATATATACTCTATATTTATATATATTTTTTTTTCACAGGTCATTGCAAGAATATATTATTGTGTAAATAGATCTTGGTCGGGCAGAATAACCTTACCAGAGCTTAGGAGATCCAACTTATTACAAGTAAGTTATATGTTGGATTATTTCATTTTTATTTTTTAACATTTTATATCTACATATTTTATGTCATTTTGTACTTTCTAACTTATGCTTGTCATTGATACAAACCCTTTTCCTCCTGAGTTGTCATTGGTAAGAAGAGAAGGCTTACATATAATAAGTAAATTAAATCATTACTGTATTGGTTTAACAAAGCATTATAGATATTTGGTCCCTAGTATTCAGGAATTTAACACTGATTAGAAGCTCACAATTAGACATTTCCAAAAAAGAGTCAACTTGAAATGGCAGTTGAGGTAACCATCTTGTATAATCAGTAAGGTGTCATCTAGTCACCCTCAAGAGTCCTGCCACCTCTCCTGCTGTTCCACAAACCTCGTGAGCCAGAAGCAGTTGACATTGATGCATTAGTCTGACCATAAATACTTCTGATTCATGATTCTGAATCTCAGGGTTTGTGGTTCAGGAGGCAAACTGATGGGACTTTTATGGGTGACTGTACAGTGTCATGGTCCCCAGAAGTGAAGTATTTGCTTATAACCAAAACCGGGAGTGAGCTATTCTCAAAGACAAAAGTCATGCTTGTACACCTGAGGAAACTTATCCAGTGTTTAAATAATTGCAAAGGTATGCTGGTCATATTAGGAGTCATATAAAAGTATAAAACTCATATTTTTGGTTTATAAATCCTCCAATGGTACAGAGGCAAGTGATGTGAAATAAAGGTTGCATAGAGGTTCACAGTTGGAAGCAGCTAGGATTAATGGGAAGGGTTGTTGCATTACTGTTACTTATCCAGTATCACAGTGGTTTTAGTGGTTCCTTTTGATGATTCTCAAAGTTTTATTTGTCTACCTAGAGGGAACACATTTTATGTTCCACATAAAGAAACAAAAATCATTAGCCACTATTACAAGTACAGTATGCACATACTGGACTTATTAACCTCCTTGACTAAGAACACTTTCAAACTCTTAATATCAGTAAGGGTAAGAATTCATTGATGGAGAGTGATGGAGTCCCTCAAAACTTATAATAAACTTGAAAGGGGCTCACCTGACCCCGGGGTGTGGTCCGCCTTATTAGCACACATCAACATATAGGCCAGTAAGGCCTATTCCTAACCGTAACGGTGTAATGCCTATCGGCCAAATGGTAACTACCTACCTGCCGGTACTGTTGCGTAACAGATGAGTATGAATCTTGTTTTAAGTTTCTGTGACTGCCTTTCGAGTGCAGTGCCTCTAGAATTATCTTGAAATTTCAAGTTATGTAGCCAATGTTTAGGCCTACATAACTGTGTGAAAGTACATTCTCTCTCATGAAACCTCTGAAATCAAAACTGCAAGCCACCATTAGTAATGTAAACTTGAGTCAGAATTGAGATGTGCCCTCACTGAATACAGTACATGCCACAGTTCTCCAGAATAGTTCAGTTTGGTAAGTACCAATATTCTCATTGATTTCATCAAAATTAATTCATGATTAGCACTAGGCCTTTTATTATGCCCATTTTATATGAATGTTAAATTAGTACTGTATTCTCAATGACATGATGCAAATTGGCCGTATTAGAACTCGGCCTGTAACAGTGTACTAAGTACTTGGATAAGAATAAAGCTGATTACCTGGTATGACTGCTTGTTTATTATTGCTAAAAAATGCATATTTTTTAATGGTTAATAGGATATTCTTCACCAATGTTGTAACTAAAAAATTCAAGCGACTTTGCACCCATTTGGATTTCTCATCATGTGGTCCACTACTGAAAAACTTGGATGCCCCTGGTTTAGACACTTAAACTAGGGAAATGTCTGCCTCACTACTCTACATACCATCAGGTATTTGTTAGGGTCAAGTGCAAGTAGAATATTAACTCTTGCAGAGTGGAGGCCTGGAAAGCCAACTTATGAAAAAACTAAGAGAATAAATCAATTAGACTGGTAGAGTTTGTAAGGAGTGCAGCAAAGTATAAACAACATTCATTGAAAGTAACCAGAGGTAAGGAAAATGTGAGGATTGAAGGATTGGAATTAAGAAAACCATTGTTCATATCAGTGTACCTAAGGATTCTTTGGCAAGTACTGTACAGTACTGTACTGTACTGTAATTTACATTGATCTGACAGGACTGTCCCTGCCTGTGGAATACAAATAGCACTCTGGACAAGACAGACTGCCAGGGGAGTCTAGCAGGTTATTTACTGAATGATCTTTTGGTTATAGTAAGGTTTTTATATTGAGTACAGAAAGGGAAATGTTAAGATTTTGATATGCCAACATAAAATACTGTACAAAAAATTAGACTGGAACAATAAATGTAATGAAAAAACTGAAGGAATATTTTTTGTGGGGAGGGTAAATTTTTTAATAAATATTGTACTTTACTGTACTCTATTAAAAAGGCAATAGGGCAAATGTAAATTGTACAGTAAATAGATATTCACACTGAGTAAATTTCTTATTTGAGCTCTGACGTGTAAACTATCAGACTGAGTAATATATATTTCTGGAATTTATCTGTAAGCATTATGAAATTCCTGTATAATATTTTCCTGTTTTGTGTGTGTGTGTTTCAGGTTTAACATCACTGTGCTGGTGGGTGGGGTGGGCTTTATAGCAAATATCGTTTCTCAAAAAAAAAAAAAAAAAAAGATAGATATCGCATTCTCAAAGTAAATTATTGCTGGATGTACAAATTAGAAACTATAAACAGGAAATACTAAGTCCAGATTCATAATTTTTTTATGACAAAATGTTCATGTGATGGTAATAAAATGTAAATTCTTGCAGGTAATAAGCTATTTAGAAGAGGAAGAAGATATCAACCAAATCACAGATTACTTCAGCTATGAACACTTTTATGTCATTTATTGCAAGTTCTGGGAATTGGACACAGATCATGACCTCTTCATTGACAAACATGATTTAGCAAAACACAATGAACGAGGTAAGTTGAGAGAGAGAGAGAGAGAGAGAGAGAGAGAGAGAGAGAGAGAGAGAGAGAGAGAGAGAGAGGAGAGAGAGAGAGAGAGAGAGAGAGAGAGAGAGAGAGAGAGAGAGAGAGAGAGAGAGAGAGAGAGAGAGAGAGAGAGAGAGAGAGAGAGAGAGAGAGAGAGAGAGAGAGAGAGAGAGAGAGAGAGAGAGAGAGAGAGAGAGAGAGAGAGAGAGAGAGAGAGAGAGAGAGAGAGAGAGAGAGAGAGAGAGAGAGAGAGAGAGAGAGAGAGAGAGAGAGAGAGAGAGAGAGAGAGAGAGAGAGAGAGAGAGAGAGAGAGAGAGAGAGAGAGAGAGAGAGAGAGAGAGAGAGAGAGAGAGAGAGAGAGAGAGAGAGAGAGAGAGAGAGAGAGAGAGAGAGAGAGAGAGAGAGAGAGAGAGAGAGAGAGAGAGAGAGAGAGAGAGAGAGAGAGAGAGAGAGAGAGAGAGAGAGAGAGAGAGAGAGAGAGAGAGAGAGAGAGAGAGAGAGAGAGAGAGAGAGAGAGAGAGAGAGAGAGAGAGAGAGAGAGAGAGAGAGAGAGAGAGAGAGAGAGAGAGAGAGAGAGAGAGAGAGAGAGAGAGAGAGAGAGAGAGAGAGAGAGAGAGAGAGTTTTTTTTACAGAATGAGAATGTTATGTATTTAATTACTTGTTACATTAAAAAAATATATTTCTTGCAGCACTTTCGTGGCGTATGATTGAACGTATATTTAGCGGAGCGGTTACAAGAGGACGGCTACAGAAACAAGACCGTATGGGCTATCAAGAGTTTGTGTGGTTCCTCATTTCAGAAGAGGACAAGCGACACCCAACAGCAATTGAATACTGGTTTAGGTAAATACAAATATCTAAAAGGACCGACTACTTTTTGCAATGAAGTTATCTTATTGCTAAATAATTAATACAGTACAGTACTCCCTCTTTATCGACGGATTTTTTATCGACGGTTTCGATTATCGACGGATTATTTAGCCGGATTTTTATTTTGAACTGTGCTTGATATAATACATTCACGGAAATGTAATATTTTTGCTAAAATGACGTACGTATTACAGTGGAAAGTGGGATCAAATCGTGACGAAAACAATGACTTGCGCTTTCTTTCGTTCAAAAGATGTTACCGTAATCACTTTTCGAATGGTTTAGTTAAAAAACTGTTGTATTGTATTACAATAATATCCTAATTGACTTGAATAAATATTACGATACCATATTTCTGAATATTTTCATTAAAATCCATCAAAATCATTTTCCTTGTCATCGTCTGCAGCACCAAACAGCTTCTCCCAGTCCTCTCCTTGAACAGGGCTAGAGGGTACGTGTTTTTCGAATCGTTTTCAGTTAAAAAATTATTACATCACACGTATATTTTACCTAAACTGCGCCTGAATGAATATATTCTCGGAAATAAATAGTAGTTTTGCTGAAACGTGATGTATTTCAATGTAAAATAGGATAAAATACATGACGAAAACAAAAGACTTTACCTAACCTTCCAATGTTCTTGAGATGTTACTCGTTTTTTTAATAGTTTTCGGTTAAAATTCTGTTATATTACAATGATATTCTATTCATACTGTGCTTGATATAATACATTCACGGAAATGTAATATTTTTGTTGAAATGACGTATGTATTACAGTGGAAAGTGGGATCAAATCGTGACGAAAACAATGACTTGCGCTTTCTTTCGTTCAAAAGATGTTACCGTAATCACTTTTCGAATGGTTTGTTAAAAAACTGTTGTATTACAATAATATTCCCTCCTAATTGACTTGAATAAATACTTGAATGGAAATATACAATATTTTTGTTGAAACTACCCGCGTTTCAGTGTAAAGTGTTGTAATAATAAATGGTAAACAATTTGCCTTGGGCATCCGGATTTTTGGACTTTTACTGTAGCCTACTGTACACTGTTTTGTTTACTGTAAGGACCGATGTTCACTTCAATAAATGAAATCGTAAGTTTGCTAGTATTTTTGTCCACTTATTATATTATTATTTATACACTATTATTTAAGGTTATGTGTAAAGGAAACGCATTAATGCTTAAAGGTACATTTATTCAACATATGCTAATAATAGTTAGAAAAATTACGTAACCATCACGGTATCGACGGTTTCTTTATCGACGGCCGTTTACAGAATGTAACCCCCGTCGATAAAGAGGGAGTACTGTACTGTACAGCAGGTGACTTTAATGCATATGCTAAAAGTATTACTGAACTACTGAGTACATTAACTGACCTTAGAATTTGTATTATCCTACAGATGCATGGACCTTGATGGAGATGGTTATCTGTCTATGTATGAATTAGAATATTTCTATGAAGAGCAGCTGCAACGTATGGAAGCCCTAGGAATTGAAACTCTACCCTTCCATGATTGTTTGTGTCAGGTTAGTGCATTGCCGTAGTCTATATATAATTATTATCTGTGTTGCTCTCTCAAATTCTTGCTCTGTGCATAAGTATAAAATAATGCTGAAGAAACTGCAGAAGCACATCCTTTGGGGTATTCTTATGCTTACATTGAAGCTTATATATATATATATATATATATATATATATATATATATATATATATATATATATATATATATATATATATATATATATATATATATATATATATATATATATATATATATATATATATATTCTATATATCTATATCTATATCTATATCTATATCTATATATATATATATATATATATATATATATATATATATATATCTATATCTATATCTATATCTATATCTATATCTATATCTATATCTATATCTATATCTATATCTATATATATATATATATATATATATATATATATATATATATATATATATATATATATATATATATATATATATATATATATATATATATATATATATATGAACTTAACTTTTTCTACAAATTAATATTTTTTTCAATAAATATGGGAAATAATAATTTCTTGGACAAATCACGAGTTTGTCCGGCTCTGGAGCGAGCCACAAGTGTCGTCACAAAAACCAGACCACACAACCACACCCCAACAATGGCGTGGAAAACCTAAACATTATGATGTCCGTTGCCCTTTACACATTTTTCTCTTAAACGTCTTATGATGTCTGCTGCCCATTAAGGGTTAAGCAAGGAAGCTGGAAGTTAGATACAATACTGACTCAATGCCCACTTTTTTCTCCTATACCTGTATATTTGTTCATGGCATGGGGCAGTGTATAATGAGCATTTCACTATTAGTAACAGTGTATGTTCAAAATCTTATTAAATGATATCAGAATTTATACAATATGTAATCCAACAGGGTCCTGAGTTAACTGTTTGTTTCTGTTGTTAATCTGCTATCATGTTTGCATTACTTAATATTTATTAGTACTGTAATAGATTTTCAGGTGATAGTACTGATAACATTGTAGATGAATAATTTGAGATATACTGTACTGTACTGTACTGTGTTCTTGCAGGTATCCTACACTATTTTGGGTAATGCCACAAATTAAATTAATTTTTACAGTCTTGTAGTGCATTTACAATTAGGCAAGAGAGTTAATACCAGAGTTGTGCACTACATTAAAAAATCTGTTCTCAGAGAAACAATTGGCCTTTTATCCTAAATTTCCATGTTTATTTTATGAGCTTCACTATTTTGATGCAAAGTTTATGTATCTTATAACTTACCTTGACCAACTTCTTGGCTGATCATTGGTCAAATACTGTACAGTATTATCATAAACATTAACTGTTCCATTGAGTGTATAGGTAATTCATTTGCAGTGATTTTGCTTTTAGAATTACGTACTGTACTCTTTTCTTGTACAGTGTAAAGAATATATATATTTTTTTTTATTTAATCAATACTGTATTAGAAAATTATTTGAATTCGTGATGGTCTTTATTCCACCTGTGTTTTCACTTCACAGATGTTGGATATGGTTCGGCCTGAGGAGGTTGACAAGATCTCCCTTAGGGATTTGAAAAAATGTCGTATGACGCCCATATTTTTTGATACATTCTTTAACTTGGAGAAATACTTGGACCATGAGCAGCGCGACCCATTTGCCTCACACCGTGCAGATGATGATGGCCCAGAGGTATGAAGATAAAACAATTGCATTATCCTTTTTTTATTATTACTGTACTTGTATGCCACAAAAAGAAAAGAAAAAAATTCTGTAGTTACTATGCATAGTCTCAGGAATATATAGTTTTTAACCTCTATACTTTCCTTATGCTGTACTACGTGCAGTCTCAGATATAGTGTACTGTATTTGTACAAAGGTTTCGTCTTAAAATTTAGAATTATGAAAATAAAAATATTTATGGCTTTTTTTTTAGTTTAACAAATTTATTGGCAGAGCTTGTAGTATAGTTTGCCTATTCTGAGTAATTCAGTCAGGTCTTGACACTGAGGGTGGTATCACTTTTCACTGCCACGCAGGACAGAGGTTCATACACAAAGATTTACATCATATTCATTAACAGCTATAAATGTATTGAGGTCAGATTCATATGGGTAATGTCACTGTTCACTGCCATGCAGGACAGAGGTTCGTACACAAAGAGATGCATCATATTCATTGACACTATATATAGGTCAGATTCATGTGGGTAATGCCACTGTTCACTGCCATGCAGGACAGTGGTTCGTACACAAAGAAGGAAATACATCATATTCGTTAGCAGTATATATAGGTCAGTGGATCACATACATTGGAGTCATATTCTAATTGAAGACTAATCAGTGTGGGCTAGCAAATTTGGGATAAACAGCAAGAATGTCCTCAAGCACACCTGATTCAATGAAGTAATTACATAGTTCAAGATACAATAAGTCAGGTGGCCTGAAGTCTTTGACAGTGTCACATTCAATAATATAGTGTTCAAGTGTATGCTTTAAAGGTTTATCACAAAGTTTACATGCTGAGTGTTCCGGTATGGGTACAGCGTTACTAACTTGCCAGATGTGTCTGTATCCTAGCCTAATTCTGGCCATGACTACATCACATTGTCTGGTTCTGTCCTTATGCTGGCCATACCGGTACCTCTTGTCACAAAATTTGTCATATTTACTAATGCTACAACTGTCAGGTCTCTCTGCATTTCTCACTTCTTCTAGATCAGAGTTCATGATTCTGACATGAATGTTTTTAATTACAGCATTGGACAGGCCAAGGTCACGGTCAACATATTTCTTTCTTACATGCCTCATTGGCCAGTCTATCAGCACGGTCATGATACCTGATTCCAACATGGGACGGAATCCACACAAATTCGATACGAAAGTTGTTCTTATTGGCAGTTATCACATTCCTTTTAATATCACATACAACTTTAGACATAGAGCCTGACGGGCTGTTCATTGATTTCAAAGCACTTTGAGAGTCACAGAATATCACCCCACCTCCATTTTCTTTGAGGTAGTCTGTGGCTAATTAAATTCCAGTTAGTTCAGTTTGTGTTGTACTGGCCCAGTTGTTCAGCCTTTGTTTGTTTGACACTATCATCTCTTTTTCTTTATATATTACAATTGCACAGCCTGTTCTACCTGTGTCTGTCTGCACAGAACCATCAGTAAAAGCATAACACTCACTTGATTTAATACTCTCTATGTGTCTGTTAATAGTTTCTAGTGTGACACAATATTTACAGCAAAATTATAATACTGTATTTATTTTCATTTTCTTTTTTTTTTCTTTTTCTCACTATTCATTTTTCCTAAGTAATCATGAAAATAAGCAGTTTTTGTTTTTTTGTTTTACAATAAGTTAGCTCAGTAGCTTGCTTATCGTTGCAATATTCTCTTAACACCTGCAATGTTTAAAGTCTCCAAATTAGCATTACAGGTACTGTAGCTAATATACTGTAGAATAGGAAAAAAGTAATGAAATTCTCTTTTTGCAAATGGCAAAGAAACCTGATATGGATCTTGAATCATGTTAAGATAGAGTTCTCTGAGTTATTAAACTTAATACTGTACAGTATTTCATATATTAATTAAACTCACTAATTCACATGCTATAAGGTTTTATGTATAATTTTTAATATATCTGTAATATTTATCACCCACAAATGAGTGCGTTAGGAGGAAAGACAAAGTGTGTTTGACCTTACCCAGTTTCTGCAGGTATCTGACTGGGATCGTTATGCTGCCGAGGAGTACGAGCTTTTAGTTGCTGAGGAGGGCGGAGCAGATCATCAGGATGACATGTAAGTCTTCTTCTTTTATACACACAATGCTTGTTGTCTTACATAATTCTTTATTCCAAAACAGTCATCTGGTTAAGTAAATGTGACAAGGATGTGGATAAGAAATAATTAGCTACTGGTAATTGTGTTAATCTTAGGGTTTGGTGTGATCGTTAAGCAGATTTGAAGCTCGATAAGATGTGCTTGTATTCAGATACTAATAAAGAAAATTTTATAAATTGAAAAGTAAATTTGTAATGCTCCAGTAAGAGAAATCATTTAGGAATTTCAGCCATCATTAAAATAAACTATGAATTCTGACCTTTAGAATCAAAGTAAAAAAATATGATATGTACTTTAGTTGTTACCAACAGCCTACAGGGGTTATATTTTCTTATGTTTTTCTGTATGTATTAACAGCTCTTTCTGACTTTAATAGACTGTACATGTATGAATTTGTTACAATAGTTCAACATAAAGTCCTTACAGTGAGTGGAGTTATGGTTCTCTTATTTACCTGAAATACATTCTGTTAGATTGTTTTTGCTCTAGTTTAGATACTTTTGTATTGATAGTCATCCTGGTTAATATTTTACTTCTTTCAGCAAAATAAAAAAAAGCAAAGTCTTAGAAAATGTTCACATTCCAAAATAGCATTAAGGATATGCAATCCATATTGCCAGGCAAGTTATTTTCTATGTCAGCATGAGCAATGCAATGTTTCACTGTATAAATTTGGACGTTTTAATTCATAATACATAACTCCATGTTGTAAATTTTTTTGCAAAAAAATAAATATCAATGTATGTAGTGCATTATGGGATATAATTCATGTCAACTTTCTTTATGTAAACTGCCTTCACCACCTGTTGTGTTCTTTTCCAATCTTTCTCCATGTTTAATTTTCTCTCATGGTGTCTGCATTTACAGTACTGTATTAATCAGGTAATTATTAGCTTTAATTGGATAATACTTGTTTATTTCATATTCTTAATTCGTAAATTATATAGGTATGTGGTGTAAAGCATTTGCAATATATTTTTATTGTATTTTTACTTAGATTAATAACTATTTATATATACGGGTATACAGTATATGCTTTATGTTATGTTTGTCTTGTTTTCTAACTTAAGTAAACTTCAGCTTCGGATAAAAAATTAAATAGGTGTTTGCTATAGCCATATATTTAGATATTTAATTATGTCATAAATACTGTAGGTGTCCTAATGGTAAATATTCTTGAATTAGATTTGACTCCAGTGGCTATGTTATGTTGTGAAATTATGATATTTAAAATTAACCTCATAAAATGCAATGAATATAACTTGTAATGATAAATTTTGTTTTGGCCTTTAATAAGCAGATGGATAGAATGATTAATATTTGGTAGTTTGTCCCTTGCTTCAGTCATCTCCCCCCATATTGCCCCTCCAGTCACCCTTCACCTCTTCCTGTGACCTCCTCCTCCTCTCCATTTCCCTTTGCTTTCAATGAGTCCCCCTAATGAGGATGATAAAAGTAGGTTGTTGGATTTTTTCATTTAGGTTCTTCTTGGGTGGAAGTGTAGATGATGGTGGAGGAGGTAGTGGAGAAACTTAAGTGCACTGTGCACCTTACAGGATTGTGGAGGAGAGTCTGTGAGGCTGATGTGCACATAACAGGTGGGAAGCTTGTGCATGTCAGCTGTGTGTTTGTGTGCACCCTCATCAGCTCTTGATCGATGTGTATACACTAATTTCTGTTCACTTCATAACTGATACAGTTGTGAACAAAGGTCCCATTGCCTCTACTCTTGAACCACAAACCTGGAGATTCAGACTTGTGAATCCAAAGCATTTATGGACAGAATATTGCATCATTGTCTACTGCTTTGGGTTCATGAATCAGAATCTCCAGGTTTGTGGAGCAGCAGAAGAAGCAACAGGACTTTTTGTTCACGATTTTACAATTATTTTGTTACTGTGTGTACAGTAGTAGTCACATTTTGGTGAATTTGAAGACGTGCTGTTTTTATTAACTGGAATTTTATTTGTTTTTATTTTCATAGAAGTCACATTTTTGCCAGCAGTATTATAATAGTCATCCACAAAACTCCTGCCGCCTCTCCTGCTGTTCCATGAACCCTGAAATTCATGTCTGGCGTTTTGTTCACCCAGTCAACAGAAAAGGGTGATTAAAACTGGGCGTTTGATTTGTGAACCCGAAGCAGTAGGCATTATTCTGTCCATATATGCTTCGGATTCACAAGTCTGAATCTCGGGGTTCGTGTAACAGCAGGAGAGGCAACAGGACTTTTGTGGATGACTGTAGAGTATATAATAGAAATGCTATTTTATTAATTCACAGATTCTTTATTGAAACCAAAGCATATTACACTTTTATGTTACCATACACTGCTGTAATGTTACACTAAATGTGCAATATCCTCTAAGTCTCTTATAATTACATTACCACATATGTTTTGATCAAGATTTAACATCTTATACCGTTAAATATAACCACGTGTTGATTTTTTTTATTTGTAGCATCATTTAGTTACTGTGTACAGTATTTAGATATCTTACAGCTTTTTATTTTTTAATCTCAATTTGTATTTACATGTGTTTTTAGTATTTAAGAATATTGCTGTGGTAACTTGACGCAACTAAGTGCCCGGTGTTTTATAATGTAATTCCAACTAATATACTTCATCTCTTCCTTCTAAATACACTTTTTTTTCTCTCTAGTGTTTGATGAGCTTCAGAAAATGAGCCAACAGGTAATGAATATAATAAGACATTAACAATCTTTTCACAGTACAGTATTCCAAATCGCATTATGACATTAAGTTGTATATATACAGTATTGGTGAAAGTGATGAATATGATTATGTGATTACTGTTTATATTTATGCAGTATAAATGACTCAATAGGGATGAAAGTTGACAGACATACAAATTACTGTAAATTAAATAAGACTTACATATTACAGGGATGATTATTATGTTTATATTTATTCTAGGGATTCATTGGGGCTAAACATGTATGGATATAGACAAGAGATTAACTAAATTAAAGAAGAATGATGGCTAATAAAAAAAATAGTGTTGAAGAGGTTTGTGGGTTTAGTAGTTAAAAAAAATACAGAAAATGGGAGGAGGGGGAGGAAGGGTCAACTGGAGGGAATGACAGAGATAATATATCTCCATTAGCCAGAATCCCTCTTAGCTGGAACTTTCCAATAGCTGGAATTGAAATTTGCTTGTTATTTTCTGGAAAATTCAGGGTTTGGGAACGATTTTCCAAGGGGCACATTTTCTGGAAAATTCCGAGAAAGATTCCGGAAACTCTCCCCCATTTTTTTTCTGGGTCTGGGAACAAATTCCAAGCATGAAAATAGGGTGCAATATCCGGAAAATTACGATAAACTTTTCCCGGTACCAGGAAAATTTAAAGGAGAGGAAAAGAGGCTTCCAACTCTTTGTTTCATGTGTGAACTAACCCTTTCATAGACTTTTTTCCAAATTGTTTCAAGTTTTATCATTTGGTTTATGAATAAAGCATGTTTGTTTTTATTGTGTAGATGCATTTTATATACAGTGGAACGTCGATTTAAAGAGATTCAATTTGAGATTATTGATTTAAAGCAACACACACAATTAAGGACAATGTTTTAATTTAAAGCGAATTTTTCCTATTTTGCGTGAGTCAATCTGGCTCATCATATTTTAAAATTTGCGCCTAATGTTCCTCTGGGCACGTTACACTGTCCTAAGGGCAAAGCTGTACTGTACATGTATTCAAAATAATGTACTAAATGATTAAAATAATTTTCTAGTGCAAACTATAACATATTTATATTCAAATTAATCACTATCTTATAAGAATTCCAGCAATGTTAATTATATTCTCCCATGTCAGTTCAGTTTATAAGAGATAAACATTGTCACCCTTAAGGACAGATAAATAAATAAGCACTAGACCTTGGCATCAACTGTCAAACATATCACCTCCCCCTTCCCATCTTCCCAGCCAGTAAACAGACCATTTCGCATCCCTTAATTTTAGCTGTGTTGATTTATGATTGTTTGTTTTAACATAATACTACAAAACACAATGTTTTGTTTATTCTATGAGATGGGCTGAGGAGCATCTGGGTAGACTCTTACGTCCATATTATTGAACAACAACATCCCTTGAAGAGGGTCGTCGTGTTTCAACCCGAGTTTTGAACTAAATGAGTCCTGAGGGATACCGCAGTACAGCACTTAGCGGGGTGGTGTGGCAGTAAAATTAACTAATTCCAAAATAAATTAATTTTATTGGAATTAGTTAATCCTACCGTCACACCACCTCGCTAAGTGCTGTACTGCGATGTCCCTCAGGACTCATTTAGTTTAAAACTCGGGTTGAAACAGGACGACCCTCTTCAAGGGAAGATGTTGTTTAACTATACGGGCGTTAGTCTTTTTAATATTTTGTGTTTCTCTCAAGTACCAAACTAAATTATTCCATTGAAACAACACTTGGATTTAGCGCGAATTCAGTTTAAAGCGACCTCTCTTGGAACACATCTCGCATTATATCGACATTCTACAATATATATATACAGTATATATACAGTATATATAAACTTAAGAAAACTTTGGACATTCTTTCACCTTTTTCCTTCTCTTTAATATTATCCAAATTTTTTCATGTTAGGCTACGTCCCATGTGCAAGTGTCCTGTGGCATCGAGCAACCACATGATTAAACACTCTACCTTGGTGTACCGAGCACATTAAAGAAAACACGTGATTGTCCGCTACTCCAAGTTAGCGCGTTTACTCACGTGGTTGATCAGTGCCACAGGATGCTCGCACATGGGACATAGCCTTAGAAAGCAAACTACGGGTTACAGTAGTACATCACTTTAGTATTGTAGTCTTATTATCACTTGATATTCCTATACAATATTATGAAGGCTTCTACACTTTCAAAAAGGTCATGTGTATTATTAAATTGTTAGTCTCCAATCTACATCAAAATGAGGAAAACCATCAAACAGGAGAAGCAAACACTTCCCCATTGATTATTTGTTTGTTTGAAATGAAAATTGATTCATATAAAATGTCATTTCAATTATATTTATAAATTTAGTATTTAAACTGAAGATGCTTTTACAGTACTGGACAGTTAATTATAAAATTTTCATGATTTAAGTTTTTTATAAAGTAATATTTGTTAGCACTTCTGAAGGATAACAATTATTTTTTTGTTACATATGCTATTCAAATGTATTATAGACTAAGGCATCAGGCCTGTGTATCCAAATGTAGATTCACCTTCTGTACAGTCTTACAAATTAATTGAAACCTCTTGTTAACAGTGTGGTGATTTTTTACAGCGTTTCCAATGATCACTTGATAACTTAGGTAATACTTAGGTAATATGTCAACCAGAAGTTTCAACACCTTAGACAAGGCAAAGTTTAATCAAGGTAATAGCAGTTCATTAGTTAGTTGTCAATCAAGTATGGTGTAGGGTAGGTAAAATGAACAGTAACAGTTTTCATATTATACTTACAATACTTACATATTTACATACAAATAATAATCATAATGAGACCTAGATGCAGATCACAACTTAACATAAGTACCCTTACTGAATATTCACACAAGAACAAGTTTAAATATTAAGTAATCACTATTAAGAATGATAGAAGTTGGTTTTATGCATATTGGCACCAAGAACCACATAAGTAAAGATAATGATTCACTTCGGTTATAGTGAGATCCCCACATATTGGTGACAGTATTATATATGTACACAAGTAAATGATGATAAGGTACATTTTGTCTCCTCACTGGTTGATTGATGTTTCACAGTAAAGTTATGGGAGCTCTTAGAAATCACTTACAGTATAGTACACGGGTATAACTAAGGCTGGTACAAGACCCCAAAGACAAATAAAAGAAGTATCAATATACTATACATACCAGATGAGCCGATATGTAGGTTGGACACATGAAGGACTCGTAGATAGATCCAGGGAGACGTAGTACAGCACTGAAGAGATGACCAGTCAGCCAAATACTGTATGGGTTTTTATAGTAGGGTAAGTTAGGAAGGTGGGTGAGTGAATGACCATTCCTGGGTCTGTGCAGGGTTTATATCACCTCTTATGGGCATAGCTTTTGGGTGATGTCACTTTTCATTCCTTATAAATGATTGGCTGAATTTTTCCACCAAGATCAGGCAATGTGCAGAGGAGAGAAGGGCAGGGTGGTAAGGGGTGCAGCTACCAGCCAGGCGTAGCCGTGACTCCTTCCCACGCTGATTTTCTTGTGCTAGTGGAATTTTGCAAGTGATATGATGAGGCTTATCTGAATATGTGACAACAGCAATGAAACCTGTAGGATGGTGGGTTCAAATTAGCCAAAATATTAAGAGTTTTGTAACTGTACGCATTGTAAACTGTATAGTGTTTTTAAGTTTTCTTGTCAAACCTGGTTAATTGTCATGTGTAGTTTACAAGACATGAAATTTTTGATATTTTTTATAGATTGAATATTTAAAAGTAAAATTATTTAACAATCTGAGCACTCGTTCCTGTTGGTCATTGTATTTTGTTTAGTACCACAAGCTGGAAATTTAATTAGAATAGGAGTTCAATGTTTTTTTTTTTATTGTTGAATTAAATAAATTATAAAAGGGTCTAGTATATGTAAGAGAAAAATAACATTCTTGTGTACCCTGTAAAGTTAACCACTGTTTTACCAAACTGACACTGCCTCCATTGGCCAGCAAACAATCAGTTATATTACAATGCAGTATTTGTCAATGAACCATATGTCAAAACTTGTAAATGTTTTGTTGAGTGATGCACAACTATTATTCTGAATTTCTAGACAGAAATCACACACAGTATTAATTATCAATACAAAACAATAATTTATTAGCCAAAATAATATAAAGACAGTAAACTTCATAAAATAGATAAAAGTTAGCATTTCCACACACTTGTACTCTTTTTTTCTTTGTTTAAGTAAGGTGATTTTTTGTTCTAAGTAATGCCCACCACCATGTTTGATTTTTATATGAAAATTTAGCTTCACTGTGATGAATACTGTATCTGAAAATCCCTTAACACCACACTGTAGTCTGTCATCCTTCAGCAAGGTAACAGCTTCAGCACCCTGCTTATGTCATGTCTACTCTGATGTTGATATTTTGGTGTTAATTTGACCTGAAAATTATTACTGTGGAATTGCCAGTTTGGTTTTACAATACAATGTTTAGGTTGCAGATTTCTGGTAATTTAACATACTACTGTACAGGGGGTCACCGACTTACGAAAGCCCGCCTATACAAACGAGGTTAAACTTTAAATTTAGAGTAGTTTATTTACCTCATGACTTGTTTTTTTACTTTCATTTGCTGTATTTTGTCATTCTATTTCTTCTTAAATTAAGTAATTTTATATGTATATAAGGACGTAGGCTATAATATAGTGGGATTTTAAACATTGTTCTCTAAGTACGGTATGCACATAGCATGTGTTCCGACTTGCGTACAAATCCGACTTAAGAACATCCTCAGGAAAGGAACCTGTTCGTAACCCAGGGACCCCTTGTTATGCCATTCACAGTTAGAGCTTTTTGTTCGATAAATTTTCATCTTCCATATACTGTACTTCTTTTCTTTTTTTAGTTGACAAATACACATTTTTCAAAATACTCATGCCTGGTATTAAAGTTCTTTAATAAATTTTTCAGGTTCTATGGTGATGAAGATGAACTATCAATGGGTTGTGAAGATGCCTTAGATTCAACAAGTGGAGGGGTCAGAAACACCATGGGAGGAGTAGGAAGTGGAGGAGCTCTCAATAAGCACTCGCCACTATCAGCTACTGTCACAAACCTTGCCGCTGATCCCATGGATGTGGATGATGACTACCCTGATTATGCTGATTCAGATGATTACCAATATTGAAGACTTTGTCATTTACATTGACTGATTCTCATCTGACAAATAAGTGATGAAGATTCTCCCAAGGGAATTCTAGTTGTAAAGTATTGTAGCAAAAGTGGATTTCATATAAAAACCATATCAGTATGATAACTGAATTCATATTTGAAAAAAATCCCAATTTGTGGTGTGCATATAATTATTCTTTTGTTATAGAACTTAAATGAGAGTTTCCTGATTTTGATCTGAATATTATATTGGAATAAGACATCTATAAAAGCATAAAGGTGTGGTGGATCTTGATGCAATTTCTGTGCCATTCAGTTTAAAATGGGATAATTAGTATTAATGAAAGTGGTTCCTTTACACAAGAACCTGTAATATGATTTTTTTTGACATTTGATATGAAGAGGAATATTATTCCAAATTTCTTTGCAGATACATACAAGTAACTTTTTCTTGAAAGTCGATATATATATTCATTAATCAGTACAGTATACTGTATCTGTATTTTAGAAACTTTGTTTTTTTATCACAAATGTGTTTATGATGCTTGTCTTTTCAATTAAATTTATCATATGGAGATGATTTTAAGTTACTGTACTGTACTAAGTTACAAAGAAATGGTGGTAAGATATAGTATTCTTATTTGAAACTGAACAACTAATTAATCACCATGAATACTTATGTACTGTGTATGTAATTCATTTTTGCACATTTTCCTCCTGAGCACAGTTTGTAGCTTCTGTCATTGAGATCTGTTAATTGAATTCATTCCAGGAATTGCACATTAATGCCATAGTTATTTGATATCTTGTTAACCAGAATATCGTATAGAATAACCAGAACTTTAGTTGAATGTTGATGTTCATGTTATACATGTAAGCAGAAATGAATATATACATTTTTTAGGTATTTTGTCAAACTGGTTACCAAATAATGTAGGTATTGATGTAGATTAATTTTCCTGAAGATGCTATATTATGATACTCCTGATGCTATATTATGATGCTCCTGATGCTATATTATGATGCTCCTGATCTGGTAACATCAAAAGAGAATTGTGTTTTGCAGCATGATCCTTCCCCACTTCCTCATGTGCCAAGAAGCATGCTCAGCCCATCTTGCTTGTGGATGCTAAACTCTTCTATGCAAAATTTTGAACAAGTGGAATGGCAAATACATGTTTCTTTCAGTGTTAGTACATGGATGTCAGAAACCTTGAACCAAAGACATACCCAATAGTGAATTTTAAGGGTCGCACCGGACTTCTAGTGACTGTGCATGGATAAATAACATTTACACTGCAGTTTGTTACTCAGTTTACAAGACACTTCTGCTGTAAACATGGGTCTAACTTTGGAATGTGATTGACATTGGCATATAATGAACTGCTATGTGCCTGGATGTCAGTGCCACAACACAAAAAACATATTATATTGATCCTAAATACTGTACTGTATTGCACCATCCATGGTGTGGTGCTTTAAAAATCGGCTAACTTTATATGTACCTTCAAGTTTCCAGTGCTTGTGTAATATATACAAAAAAAATAAACATTCTCTAAGAATGTGGATGTGGAAATTCAGTGTATATATTGACTTCCTATAATGAGGAATATCCTGTGCTTTAATTGAACTGCCTTATGGGAAAGATTCCCATAGAAATGTGATGAGGTGTCCCCACAGATGTCAGTTACCTCAGAAATTTTCGTCTTCCTTACCCGCAGAAATCAAGTCCCTCCATGAAGTGCCTCCCTGTGTCCCTGACAATTACCAGGTGAACTCTGATAGACTAAGGCTTCTAGTGTTATTGGTATACATCAAGGAAATATGGCAAGGCTCACATACACAGTCGATTACTGGATGAACTAGGTCAACTAATTAAATTTTAAGTACTGTACTGTATCTCGGAATCCCATACTTTCCACAATTGCCAATTCTCAACTAAATTTAATGCATATATTTTTCAGATGCCCAAATTCTACCACAGATTAATGATTTTGAGATAATTTTGACTTAATATATTTTCTAAGACAAGAATAGATGCAAGAAGAGTTGTATTTGTCAGACTTTTGTACTGTTAGGTATATTTATTAGTACAGTAATTCATTAGTAATTGGAATTGGAATTTAGAGTTTGTTAAACAAGAAAAAAACCTGTGATTTTTTTTCATAGCTAGAAAAGGTACCAATATATCTTAACAAATTTCCATACTGTAATTGAGAGCTTCCATGAGTCACAGATGCCTGTGAATGATAAGAGAAAATTTCATTTTTCTTTATGTTGGAAATAATTAATGCACGGAATTTAAATCCAGGCTTGCACCTTATGGACTAATCTTGGGAAACTGATAAGAAAAACATGTCAATAGGTTGGTATTAATTAGAATATTGAAATTAAAAATCATTTTAAATAAAAGACTGCTTCATTGCTTGCAAAGGTAAATTTGAGCACCGAAAATGTGAAGAATATGCATACTGTAAAGATTTGGCAAACTTCATAGTAGACAGAGGTCATGCTCATTTACTATGGTCTTATCATATTTTGAAGAAAAAAAATCACTGTAAATGTTAGCTTTTAAATATCTTGAATTCACAATATTGGTTTTTCTTATTAAAACAATCCACCATTATGAATTGGAAAGTAATGTGATAAATGTGTTGACTGAGCATCCTACCTTCTCCAGGTGGAGTGTACAGCTCTGGTAGTTGGATTTTACCTTCATGTAAAAAAAAAAAATCATAAATAAATAATTAAAAAATAATTCCCTTTAGCTGCAAGTGCCATTCTTTCTGCCCGGTGCAGAAGGAAAAAGATGTCAGTCACTATGCTGTTTTTTTACAGTTCTCTCTCTCTCTCTCTCTTTTATGAATGCTAGAACAAATCATGAGTAAGGTCAATATCTGGTTGATTATTATTTTAACAAAAGTTTTTGGATACATAGTTTAAGAATGGTACCATCTGATAACATTTTTGGGTTTTGATTTAAGAGACTAGAAGTCTACTGCTTGTATGTCATGTACCCAGATGTATATTTCTTGCTGAAATATTCATATGGTACTTAAATTATCCACCCCATATCTTTGTAAACATTTATATTAGCCAAAAATCATTAGAATTTGCATTTCTTTTAAAAGTTTTTAGTTGATGCTCAAAAATGCCATTTTATATTAAATTAGTGTCTTCAGTCATTCTGTGTGCAATTTTTAATCAATATTAGCAGACTCTTTAGGTTTCAGTTTTGTTCTTTTTTATCTTCATTATTTCCCACATGTGTAAGGTTTATTGCCATAGCATTACTTAATAAAGAACACAGTGTTTACTTCTTGGTTATTACTACAAAAATTTGAGTATGATTGTGTTCTACTGTTAAGTATGAAGGGGAAAGTCATGGAGCTTGAGCTTGTTTAAATCTGATGTATGATTTACAATGATGAGAAACCAAGCAGTAATCTCATGTCATAACATATGGGAAGAAACTTTGCTGTAGGGAATAAGCAACCCATAGCAAGCCTTACTATATCAGATTATGGATGATGGGTAGCTAGTTCAAGTTCCCACTTCATCATAATCAGCATATCCCATACCCTGAACCTTTATAAGTAGACTACCAAGTTGTGATGAATATGTCCATAATAATACGAGGTTTACATGTGCGTAGAAAGTATATTGGCTGCAAACAGCAATGTGAAGAAAAGAAAAATCTTACTTAGTTTTCCTAAAGAAATGCTGATGAACACTCTTGTCAGTCGCGCTCCACACTAGTCAGGACGTCAAGTTTGCACTTCCTTGATTCATCGCATTTTTATTTTTCAGCCACTCCCAAGTGTCACATGTCACCAGCGACTGTGTTGCTAAGTCGCAAAGTTATATTGACCCCAGTGTTTTGTGAAGTGAGAAAATGTAAATGGTGTTGGTATCACCTTGTTCGTATGTTTATTGTATTTGTAATATGTTGTATAAAGGAGTTAACATTCATTTTGGATAAAAATTGTGTTTTAATGTCCTCTTATATTGTAACCCATTCTTTTCCTATATTTGGGATGTAGGTGGTACAGAATGCCTCATTAGCAAAAAAAATAAATAAATAATAATTTCAACACTTGTGTGAGGAGATTGAAAGACTTTGTAGCAATGAATACTGCTCAAGACTACTTATCGTATGTATGAGCTGGGTGACACAAAAACCAATAGCAATTTACTACATATTGTACTTGACTGGAAGCTTTGTTAGGATGTAAAAGTGCTAGGAGGGGAGAATGTGTCTTGTAGCATAGATTACTTGCATGTGACAAGGTTGCTAAAAAGGTGGTATTTGCTCCAATAAGGATAGTAACTGAAGGAACAGAATACAGTACAATGAAATAAAATCCCATGGGTCAGTGGTGGTGAAAGCAAACCACCCATCCAGATGTCTTGTGGGAAGCCCAAATTATTTAAAAAAAAAATTGTTGGCCGTCTTGCATGTTGTTTTATCATGAGTGATGAGCTCGACAAAATAGGTTGCGATAATACTGAAAATGCTATGGGCAGTGTGTAATTTATTTAACGTCATATCTCCCAGGTTTAAATAGTCAAACGAGAATAAATATCCAACAGCAAAGCATAAGTTGGGGTGTTGTGCTGACTGATTGCTCTGTTCTCCTATTGGCTGTAATTCGATGACGTTACATCTTACTCCACCAATCACGTTTAAGTAAGGGATTACTGGACGAATGCAAAATGTACGACAAAACTATGAAGTTCTTGGGGTGATGCTGCATGTGGAAGGGCCCCTGGGGGTCTTTTCGCCCATGGCAGAGACTCTGCCGCCCCTGGAAAGGCACCCACTGCGACTAGGAGGGCCCATACCAGCGCCGCCGGACCTAGGAGGGCCCATAGGGGCGCTGCAGCCCCTGGCAGGGTCATTGGGGGCAGAGGCGCCCCATAGAGGGACCCTGGGGGAGACACCGCCTTTGGAAGGGCCTCTGAAAGCGGCACCGCTGTGTTATGGCCCCTGGGGGAGCCCCCGTCCCTGGGAACACCCTTAAAGGCGCCCCCGTCCCTGTAAGGGACCCTAGGATCGCTGCTGTCCATGTGAGAGTCACCTGGCCATGCCAGGCACGGAGGCGCCCCCAGGGCCCTCTCAGGGTCGGCGGTGCCCCAATCGGACCGATGAGGGGCGCTGGATCCACCAGGGGCACTCTTAGGGACAACTGCAATCCTATGGAACTTCCCAGGGAAGGTGGCGTCCACAGGGGCTACTCCAGGAACAACCGAGCTTCCATGGTCCTCTCAGGGACGGCAACGCTCCAAAGGACCCTCGCAGGGACGACATCGCTCTTAGGGACCCTCACAGGGACGGCGGCGTCCCCATGGGACCTGGTAGGGGCACTGGCGACCCGAGGGGCCCTCACAGGGACAGCCATGATCCCTGGGGCCTTTCCAGGGACGGGGGCGCCTCCAGGTGCGTTCCTAGGGACCGTGGTGCTCCCAGAGGCCCTGTCAGCGACGGTGGCGCCTTCAAGGGCCCTTCCAGAGGCGGTGGCTCCCCCCAGGCCTCTTTATGGGGCGCCCCTGCTCCCAGGGTCCCTGCCAGTGCCTATGGGTCACAATAGGTCCTCGTAGGGGAGGCGGCACCTCAAAACAATGGATAGTTGTGTCGTACATATTGCATTCTTCCAATAATATCTTACTTAACTGTGATTGGTGGAACAAGAGGTAATGTCATGAAATTACAGCCAATAGGAAAACATAGGAATCAGTCAGCACAACACCCCAACTTATGTTTTGCTGTTGGATATTTATTCTCCTTTTCAATGTTCAGGTTGCGATAATACTGAAAATGCAATGGGCAGTATGTATTTATTTAACTCATATTCCACAGAGTTTAAACAGTGAAACGAAAAGAAATATCCAACAGCAAAGCATAAGTTGGGGTGTTGTGCTGACTGATTGCTCTGTTCTCCTATTGGCTGTAATTTGATGACGTCACATCTTGCTCCACCAATCACAGTTGAGTAAAGGATTACTGGACGAATGCAAAATGTATGACAAATCTATGAAATTTTTGGGGAGATGCTGCATGTGGAAAGGCCCCTGGGGGCGCCACCGACCTTGGCAGAGACGCTGCCGCCCCTGGAAAGGCACCCACTACGAATAGGAGGGCCCATACCAGCGCCGCCCGCCCTAGGAGGGCCCATAGGGGCGCTGCAGCCCCTGGCAGGGTCATTGGGGGCAGAGGCGCCCCATAGAGGGACCCTGGGGGAGACACCGCCTTTGGAAGGGCCTCTGAATGCGGCACCGCTGTGTTATGGCCCCTGGGGGCGCCGCTGTCCCTGGTAACACACCTGAAGTCGCCCCCGTCCCAGTAAGGGAACCTGGGATCGCCGCTATCCCTGTGAGGGTCATTTGGCCATGCCAGGCACGGAGGCGCCCCAGGGCCCTGTCATTGACGGCGGTACCACCAGGGGACCTGTCAGGGGCACTGGATCCATCAGGGGCGGTCTTAGGAAGAACTGGAATCCTAGGGGCCTTCTCAGGGAAGGCGGCGTCGACAGGGGCTACTCCAGGAACAACCGAGCTTGCATGGTCCTCTCAGGGATGGTAACTCTCCAAGGGACCCTCGCAGGGACGGCATCGCTCTTAGGGACCCTCACAGGGACGGCGGCGTCTCCATGGGACCTGGTAGGGGCTTTGGCGAACCATGTGATTGGTGGAACAAGAGAAAACCCCTGAAGGCACCCCTGTCCCTGAACCCCTAACTTATGCTTAGCTGTTGGATATTTATTCTCGTTTCAGGATTCAAACTCTGGGAGATATAACGTTAAATAAATAGACACTGCCCATAACATTTTCAGTATTATCTCAACCTGAACAATGAAAAGGAGAATATATCCAACAGCAAAACATAAGTTAGGGTGTTGTGCTGATTTATTCCTCTGTTTTCTGGCTGTAATTTGATGACGTTACCTCTTGTTCCACCAATCACCGTTAAGTAAGATATTATTGGAAGAATGCAATATGTACGACACCACTATCCATTGTTTTGTGGCGCCGCCTCCTCTAGGAGGACCTATTGTGAGCCATAGGCCTTGGCAGGGTCCCTGGGAACAGTGGCGCCCTCCAATGAGGCCTGGGGAGCCACCGCCTCTGGAAGTGCCACTGAAGGCACCGCCGTGAACAAGGCCTCTGGGGCACCACGGTCCTGGGAACGCCTGGAGCGCCCTTCCTGGAAAGGCCCCAGGTTTCATGGCTGTCCCTGTGAGGGCCCTTAGGGTACCAGTGCCCTACTGGGCCCATTGGGGCGCCGCCATCCCTGTGAGGGTCCTAGGAGCGTTGCCTGCCGTCCCTGAGAGGCCCATGGAAGCTCGGCTGTTCCTGGAAGAGCCTGTCGACGCCGCTTCCCTGAAGGCCTAGGATCAGTTGTTCCTAAGACCGACCCTGGTGGATTCAGCGCCCTGACAGGTCCCTGGGGCACCGTGACCCTGAAGAGGGGTGCCTCCCGTGCCTGTGACCCTCGGGATAGCGGCGATCCAGGTTCCTTCGGACGGGGCTTTCAGGGTGTTTTCTGGGAATGGGGGCCATTCCACAGCGGTGGCGCATTCAGAGGCCCTTCCAGAGGCGGTGTCTCCCCCAGGGTCCCTCTATGGGGCGCCTCTGCCCCCAATGACCCTGCCAGGGGCTGGAGCGCCCCTATGGGCCCTCCTAGGGCCGGCGGCGCTGTCCATAGCGATGCGATATAACTTCGGTAATGTATTTGTTACGGGGAAAGCGTAGTTTCATTATGAAGAAGAGAACCAGGGAAAACAAACATCTCGACTAGTTGAGGTACCTTAATTACTAACGTTACAGGTAATATACAATAAAAACGAAACACTATTCTAAAATTTATCTTCCACAAAAGTTTTAAAAGAACATTATATTTTAAAACAATAAAAATGACGGGAGACCTACGTACAAAACTTAAAATCAGAAAAACTTAGTCAAGTGCAAAGTTTTTTATGGAGTATTTAGTGTACAGATGTGTTAGGTAGATGAAGCTCCATTGATGCAGCGCTAACAGACTTTCTAGGACTTCGTTGGAATGCTTCCCGAACACATTCAATGGACTCTTCAGACATCCTTGGACGTCCATTTCAGGGCAATTCACAAACGTTGTCTGTTTCCAGAAACTTTCGAAACCATGCTCTAATGCTGGGTTATGAGAGTGGTTCTTTACCATACCTCTGGAGGTATTGTCTTTCCACTGTTGTCACTGATTTGCTCTCTGCAAACCAGGCAACACATGGCGCTTTCCCTTGATTAGACGCCATTGTGACTCCTTATCTTCCTCACCAAGATAAAACATCTCAAACCCACTGCTCCTGTAAAGAAAAAAAACCCGATTAACTAGGGAATATAATGCAGCAAACTGTCTTACTATATCCCTTATGGTTTTTTAGTAATAAATATTTAAACCCGGAAAGAAACTTTCGGCACCATATATATATATATATATATATATATATATATATATATATATATATATATATATATATATATATATATATATATATATATATATATTGTTACGCCATCTCTTAATTTACTTTAATAACCAGCTTCTAGGCGTAACCAAACAAAAAGTGAGTGAAGTAAACTAAAAGGGAATAATAATAAATAAAGTAAACCTTTAAGAATTTAATTAAATTAAATATTAACACAACAAAGAGCCTCGTAGGCTGTCACAACAAATTGATTCACTATCGAAACCTTTAAGACACAAATGATACCAAAACATCGAAACATCAAAAGAATAAAAATAAAGCATTAGATTACGTTAACACTGCATAAACAAATAAAATAACTAACATTGAAATTAACTAACGTGAAACAACACTGAATTACTTAAATGTAACTAAGCAAGCACTGATGGACACATAAGAGACATAAATAGGTACTCACATAGATATACCACATTGGTGGCGACAGGAACAACACAGAAATAAAATAAGTAT